GGAACAGCTGAATAAAATGGTTATGTAATTACATACTTCTCATAATTATTGAGTAATTATATACTTCTCATAATTGCCAAGTAATCATGCTGCTATAACTAGAACTTAATGTTACAACTAATTATATAATTACTGTGTATTAATGTTGTTATCAAGGAAACAGAATAAAGTGTTGCTTAGCTTGAAGCTTTTTTCTGAGTAGCATTTTAAAATATAAAAACTAATATTTGTTATGCGGCTGGAAATGGGTTTTATAAACTGAACGTGTAAAGGAAAATAAAACTTATTTTAAGGAAAGAAATGGCTGAAACTGTTATGTTAATAATTTCTTGCTAGATATAGGACTCAGCACTTGAGTCTAAAGTAACAGTTTTAGTTGTTTCAGCACATTCTCATGTCTTGCTTCACATCCATGTGCAAAGACACATGTATGCACATCATGCAGAGAGCTATCCAAAGGGGACACAGAAAATGCATTCACTGCACATCAACAAAGTTGGGCATAGGCACTTAATGGTATCTCAAACAATGGTTTGAGTTACTGTTTGTTCTGAGACTGATTATAGGTACAGTAGTTAGAAAAATACAGTGGGCGCAGGTTTTGGGTTTTTACAGTTATTTGGGTTTAATTATGAATGTAAGAGGCCACATCAAATACTTATGAATACTTGAGAGAGTTTCTTTTAGTGATCATACAATGCAAGAATATGGCTTCTGGAGCATATTCTAGGAGTTATCCACACTGCTGGGTTGCCCTGTCACCCAAACAGGCAGGAAACTGTTCCCCGGGGTGAAACAGGTGATGTCACTATGTCACTCAGCTTCAAAGCAACCTCACGATACGTTTCTCTGTTCCGCACCTACAGTAGACTTTTCCATGTTACATCATCTCATTTCAGTTGGTTGCACATTATCTCAGCAGTTCATTGGCTACTTTGAAGAGGAAGGACGGACCCTTCAGCTGAGTCAATGCTTATCATGCACTGAAATAATTGTGATACCCAGTTGCCAGTTTGAAATCCATCAGATTTTTTTTATTATAATTTTTCTTTTGTTAATAGGTAGCTTTTCCCCTGTGCTTTTTTTTAAGTGCAGGTTTTTATTGTTTCGTTGTTTATCGAGGTCCCCCCCTCACTCCCCCAAATGCCCAGATTGCTCAAACAGATCTATAGGGTGTCTGGGAACTAGGGGTAAACACTTTCACCTCATGTGACTGGAAGAATGGTAAAAGAGTAAAACTCTGGACTTGGTTGTTTTTTTTTTAAGTTGCCTCAATAAAGGTAGTTTTAGCCTTCCTACGGAGATAGTGGTGGTGGTGATGATGATGATGATTTATTAAACTTGTATGCTGCCTGATCTGGTCTACCTATTGGAGCCAACAGAAGAAGCAGTCCAAGGTCTCAGTCCAGACCAGATTTTCTTAAGCCAGTTTTGAGTCAAGCCAGCATGAGCACAGGACAGGAATAACTTAAATGTTAAATGTGGATGTACCCTTAGAATCATAGGAATCTATATAAAAATTGAATTAAAAGGTGGCTAAATAGTTGCATTTGGTTCAAGAATTACATAATCTTAGACTCGGAAGGGGGCATAATTTCAAGCCCATCCTTAGTTCAGAAATCTATATTGTAGCATCTCTGACAGACAGCTTTACAGTCTCTATCAGGAGACACCCCTCCCCCCATCTCTAGAATATAGATCCTATTGCCAAACTTCTCATGGTAAAAGTTTTTTTTTTTTTAATTTAAATATTTTAACAAGTTTTACGTACAGAAATAGAAAAATTACAAAATACAAAAAAGAAAAGAAATGCATTAAAAACTATGAAAACAAGGCACACACATACCCAAACAGAGAAGCTTTTTGTCTTTTGGGTTTGTTTGTTTGTAAATCAACCAGAATTTGTTTTCTTCTCTGCTCAAGACTGAACGCATCAAATTCTCTTAGTCTTTTCTAGGATCTAGGTCTTAATCCTTTGAACATCCTTTGGTAGCAGTCTTCCCCAATTCTCTAATTTCCCTATTTTTAAACCACCATGATCCTTCCTATAAACGTCTCAGGGTATGAGCCCTGAAAGTTAGCAGCAACAGATATAGGGAGTTCACAGTCTTTGTCATGTCATGTATGGAATCAGTTTGGACTCTTCAGCACTTTACCAGAGAATAAAAGTTCTGTGTACATAAGAAATGGATTGTTCCAAACAAAAGCAGGAGGTTCAAGAAAAGCCATGAAGAACTATGTGAAAATGGAGGTTAATCAAGGATCATAAGGTTCAGTCAAAATAGGGCAGGACAAGAATATCAATAGTTTAATTTGGTGGGATGAAAGGAAAATTTAGGATGTTCCACTTCCTGATTTATTTTGATTTGGCAAGTCAAGTATGCATCTGAATACCTTAACAACTTCTAGAAGACATCCCCTTTAATTTACTCAGTAATGGAAGCACATAAATAATTAGACTCTGATCCATCTAGTGTCTTTTCTGTTTCTTGCAGTTCCTAAGTCACCATCTTATTCTTGATCAAGGTGTCAGGCTAATGTTACTCATGCCTGAGTACTTGTTCAAAAAAAGAAGAAAAAGCAAAGGGTTACACTGCTGGCTATATCTGAGTATCTGATAGACTTAATCCAAGCAAAATAAATTCAAGGTCTCCACATTGTGCTAGTGCTGGTCAAGCTCTTTGACCCACCTGACACCCCCCCCCCCCCCCGTCTGTGTCTGTGTATCTATCACCATCCTCCAGCACCCTTTATTTCCAGAAATCCCAAATGGGATCTCTTGTTTGCTTAAAAATAAAAAAAAATTAAAAAGGTGGGTGGCTTCAATTAACTATTTCACTTGCTTGGAAAAAATGCCAAAAGTAAACAACATAGCAGAAAGAGAAAAGGGATGGTTCAGCTGGAAGTGGGGTGAGGGAGACTAAAGGAGGTGTCAAATAACATTCTGATAAATTTTTGCTTTGTAACTGATGATAGCCTCTCCTCCATGGCAGCTCTTTTGTGAAAGTATCCACAACACTTTCTCAAAATTCCAGATGTTGGGGAACTCTGGTCTCCTTGAACCCTTAAGCTTGTAAACAACATTGTTATTGGACTTTGGTGCCTAAAACACCAAACACCCTAATCATATGATTTTTCAACTAACAGTGTGCTGGCTTTATGATATTTACTTGTCTAAATCTATTATCTTCAGAAACGTTCTAGCTATAACTTCTTAGTATTATTTTTAATTTCCTGTTTAAGCTATCCTTTTAGTACAAAAAATATATATACTATACATATTTTACAGCAGTTGAAGATTTCAAGTTTTTTTCCCCCTTTTGCTTTCAGCTAATGGCAATTACACCATTTTAAATAGCACACAAATTTTACATATCGGCAAAGAAGCAAATGTCTGGGTACCCATTGGAGGACTAATCCCATTTTCAAACTACACAGTGGAAGTGAATGCTTCAAATAGCCAAGGATACGTGATCAGTGACCCTGTAATAATCGCTCTACCTGCTGGTGGTAAGTATAATGAAACAGTCTTATTGTCTATGCCCTCTCTTAGTGATACTTTACATTTACTATTTGAAGGTACATGGAGTAGGGGTGTGCTGTCACTTGCCTCTAGAGGACATTCCACTGCCTGGAGGTAGAACAGAGAGAAACATAACTATAGTAGTACTTTCATCAGCCATTGTGTTGGTGCTTGGAATAAATTTTCACAGATAACTCTAGGAGATTAGCATGCATTAATGTGTTGTGGAAGCCAGCTTCTTGTTCCTGATATAATGAGGCATCCTCTAAAAAGTCATGGTTGGATGCTGTGTTATTGTACAGAAGTTCAGAGCATGAAGCAAAAAGAATCAACTGATTCATGTGATTCCATACATTATAGTTCATTAGATGAATTCACATGGATTCTTTTATCCTTGTCTTGAGATAGTGGTACTATTTTAATGTATAGGATTGTGGTATACATATGTGAAATGTTTTGAACTGAAAAGAAAAAAGCATTGCATAATCACTAGGTTTGATTCTTATGTTTTTCAATGGTTTATTTGTATCAAGAAAGCTATCTGATGTCTATATCAGTGTACAGTAGTGGAGAAGAAAACATTTTAATTCAGTGAGCCAAAAATAGTGGTTGCCAAAGGAAAAGGCAGAGTATCCAAGATAGTATAGTCATATGATTATGCCAGTTTATTCTGGGAATTATGATATACTGTAGTTTCTTTCATCATTTGTTGTTGATTACAGTTAGGAAATGTATCACTTTGAAATGATCTTTTTTATGACCTTGTGGTACTTTAAAAGCAATACCTCATTGATTAAATAGGTTTTAGTTCATGCTTCCTTTTACTTAATGATCTGAAAGCATATTATCCTGATTTACACATAAAATCACGCTGAAAAGCATGTGGCATTCAGTAGACTATGTGTATTTAAGTAGAATTAAATTAGCACTGAAAGTTATTAAGATCTTCCATCCCATTGTCCCATGGACTATGATTTGAACTGAAATGAATAATAAATGAACCAGCACATATGAGAAAAGCCCTGATATATAAGACATTCTATAATCTGTATTTACCTTGCCACTATGTTTTATTATAATATATTTTTTTGACTGCACTAGCACCCAAGACCTAAATGCACATTTTAAATTAAATAGTAAACTGTAGCATTTTATTATAAACAGTCGTTAAAAGGAATTTATCAGAATAGCTTGCTAAAATTAGTTGAGTCCAAGTTTTGATTACTTTGTTTGGCATGTCTTAATTCTCCTGAAAGAGAAGTACAGGCAGTCCCTGGGTTAAGAACACCCAGTTTAAGGGTGACCCATAGTTAAGAATGGAGCCTATTGTAGCAAATACGAAATGATTTGAGTTAAATATACAATGGGTTGAGCTCATTACACAATACTATTTATACAGTATTATACAATAATATTGTTCCAGCTTACATACAAATTCGACTTACGGAGAGACCTTGGGAACAGAACTCGTTCTTAAATTGGGGACTACCTGTATTGCTTACCTGTTTATTCTTTAGCTGTTTCCCTGCCCAATATCAGGGTATAACTCTAGGAAATGTTTCTATTTGGTGCCCTAGAGAGTAAACATACACTGATGCTGGAGTTTCTCTACTAAATTGATATATCATGTTCAGCCATCCACGAATCTTTTTGGATGGTCTTGTGTATCACCAGCTCTGGCTGGCATCCTTGTTTATAACTGCAATATTGAATACAAAAACCCAATGAAGGTCCTTCAATATTTCTATCAAATGAATACTTACACTTAAGATTAATCTTTCCCTATAGCAGCTCTAGGCCAGGACTAAGCCAAAATTGTTCACTATCACCTTGAAATATTCTGAAGGAATCATTTGTTCCTACTTTTCTTTTACCTTAATCTCTAATAAATTTAATAACCTACACTAGACAATCCACTTGAGACCTATCCAAAATTGTAACGTAAAAGTTCTAAATTTGTAGCCAACATTCATCTAGATCAGTGTTGTCCAAACTTGGCTACTTTAAGATGAGTGGACTTCAACTCCCAGAATACCCCAGCCAGCATGGCTGGCTGGGGAATTCT